AGCGGGGACAGGGGGGCAGGGACAGGGGTGGCAGGGACAGGGGGGCAGTGGTGGCAGGGGACAGTGGCAGCAGGGACAGGGTGACAGGGACAGTGGCGACAGGGACAACGCCGTGCCACCCCCGCGCTGCTCCCACCACTCCCGGCTCGCCTCCATCCCGACCTGACAAAGTGAGGAGCGATCAGCACCACCCTGCCTAATTACCGCCGTTAATTACCGCTAATTAGGCAGCGCCCGCGGAACCCCGGGCAGCCTCAGCTGGGACAGCCCCAAAATCCCAAAAAAATCCCCAAAATATCCCCCAAAAAATCCCCAAAAAATCCCCAAAATATCCCCCCGGGGGCCGTGGAGAAAAAAAAAGAGGAGAAAAAGGAAAAATAACAAAAAGGAAATAACAAAAAGGAAAAATAAATAAAGGAAAAATAAAAAAAGGGGAAAAATAACAAAAAGGAAAAATAACAAAAAGGAAATAACAAAAAGGAAATGACAAAAAGGAAAAATAACAAAAACATGACAAAAAGGAAAAATAACAAAAAAATAACAAAAAACCCAACTCGGCCAAACCCCCCGAGATGTGCCCTGCTCCCCCTGGCAGAACCCAGCACGGGGCAATCCTGGCACAGGGGCAGCAGGATGGGGAAAAAGTGGGAAAAAAGGAAAAAAATAAAGAAAAATAAAGAAAAATAAAGAAAAATAAAGAAAAATAAATTAAAATAAAGCAGTGCGAGATGCCGGCGGAGGAGCAGGGAGGGAGCCCGGCCCTGCTCTGCTCCCGCTGCCAGCAGCGCCGGGCACCCCCCGAGCCCCCCGGGGGCACCGCGGGCACGGGGCGGGGGCGGTGCCCGCCCGGCCCCTCCTGGCAGGAAAACCCCGAAAGGGGAGATTTTACGGGAAAAGGGAAAAGGGAACCGGGGGGGCACTGAGGGGGCCGGGGGAATCAGCCTGGGGAGGGGAAAGGGAGGGCGAGGGCACAGAAGGGCTCCCGCTCCAGCACAGCTCCGCCTTTCAGCCCGATCGAGAGAGGTTTGTGCGGTTTTGTGGGGGGGAAGATTATTTGGGGAGAAAAAGGGAGGTTTGGGGAGAAAAAAAGGAGATTTTGGGAGAAAAATGGAGATTTTGGGGTGAAAAAGGAAGGTTTGGGGAGAAAAAAGGGAGATTTTGGGGAGAAAATTCACTTGGAAAAGGGAGATTTTGGGAGAAAAAGAGGAGATTTGGGGAGAAAAGGGGAGATTTGGTGTGAAAAATGGAGTTTTTGGGTGAAAAAGGGAGATTTTGGGGAGAAAAAGGGAGATTTGGGGAGTAAATTCACTTGAAAAAGGGGAGATTTTCGGAGAAACAGATTTGGGGAGAAAAAGGAATTTTTGAGGAGAAAAAGAGAGATTTTGGGTGAAAAAATGGAGATTTTGGGGAGGAAAAGGGAAATTTTGGGTGAAAAAGGGAGGTTTGGTGAGAAAAGGGGAGATTTTGAAGAGAAAAATGGAGGTTTTGGGGAGAAAAAGGGAGATTTTGGGTGGGAAAGGGAGAATTGGGGAGAAAAGGGGAGATTTTGGGAGAAAAAATGAACACCCGTGTGACACCCGTGTGACACCCGTGTGACACCCGTGTGACACCCGTGTGACACCCGTGTGACACCCGAGTGACACCCGAGTGACACCCACAGCTCTGCTCCAGCCCCCAGCGTGGCTCGGGGCTCTCCCGCAGCACAGGTGAGCAGATCTCGGCCCGAGCCCCCCAAAATCCCCAAGGAAAGCAGCAGGCGACGTCCAGCCCCCCAAAATCCCCAAGGAAAGCAGCAGGTGACGTCCAGCCCCCCAAAATCCCCCAAGGAAAGCAGCAGGTGACGTCCAGCCCTCCAAATCCATCCTGAAGTGAAGCACAACCGTCCCGGTTCAGGTAGCCCAAGGAGAGTTTTACTTATCACATCTCTAGGAACAACAGCCAGAAAAAAAGGAAAAAAAAGTAGAAAAAAAATCTCTCGGCTTGCTGCAGGACACCAGGAGAAATCCAACATTCCAATTCCCAAACATCCTGGAAAAAAAACCCAAAAAACCAGAAAAAAACCACCAAAAAAACCCAAACCAACCAACAAAAAAAACCCAAAGAGTGAATTCATTTGCTTCTTCAATTGGTGCTTTTTAGGCTTTTTTTTTTATTCAGCTCAGATTTTGTGGTGTTTTTTGTTGTTTTTTTTCCCCCAGATAATTGTCTTTAACTCTTCAGGAGTTTTGCGAAGCACAACCGTCCCGGTTCAGGTAGCCCAAGGAGAGTTTTACTTATCACATCTCTAGGAACAACAGCCAGAAAAAAAGGAAAAAAAAGTAGAAAAAAAATCTCTCGGCTTGCTGCAGGACACCAGGAGAAATCCAACATTCCGATTCCCAAACATCCTGGAAAAAAAACCCAAAAAACCAGAAAAAAACCACCAAAAAACCAAAAAAACCCAAACCAACCAACAAAAAAAACCCAAAGAGTGAATTCATTTGCTTCTTCAATTGGTGCTTTTTAGGCTTTTTTTTTTATTCAGCTCAAATTTTGTGGTGTTTTTTGTTGTTTTTTTCCCCCTAGGTAATTGTCTTTAACTCTTCAGGAGTTTTGATCCTGTTGCACACACGCACGCAGATGGGCACCAAGCTGGTGCAGAGGGGAGGAAAGGAAGGTTTGGGAAGAAGACAAAAGGAGGATGAGAGCTGGTGCTGCTGGAGCTGAGGGACAATTCCGTGGAGCTGAACTCCGGCCAGGCCAACCCCTCTGCTCCCAGGAGAATTCCCAGCGCAGAGCCTGAGCCAGAGTCCAGCAAAAGCAGGAGGGAGGAAAGACAGGAAGGAAGAAAAGCAGAAAGAAGCGAGGCAGCAGCGCCAGGGTGGGCAGAGCAGGGTGGCACTGCCAGGGACAGGGACAGGAGCTGCTGGGAGTTAATTGGATTTGGGGGGAGGGCATGGACAGCTCAGTGTTAGGATTTTTATTAAAAAAAATGGATATATTTATCAAATAAATCGTTTATTTGGTATATCAGATAAGTGATTTATTATAGGATTGATAACTGCTCCCTCAGATAGAAATAATATCAAGTTAAATATCAAAATATAATAACGTAATAAACTAATATTAAAATATAACTGTGAATAAAAGTAATGACGATTATAATGAAATGGGATAAATGACCCCACATTATTTAGGGGTAGGTCATTGACAGGTCAGTGTGGGAGGTTTTATCAAAAAAAAAATGGATATATTTATCAAATAAATCGTTTATTTGATATATCAGAAAGGTGATTTATTATAGGATTGATAACTCAGATAGAAATAATATCAATCTAAATATCAAAATATAATAATCTGCTGCCTCAGATAGAAATAATGTCAATCTAAATATCCAAATATAACGTAATAAATTAATAAAAATATTAAAAATCACTGGGAAAAAAATAATTACTATTATCATGAAACAAGATAAATGACCCCACATTATTTAGGGGTAGGGCATGGACAGGTCAGTGTCAGGTTTTTTATCAAAAAAAATGGATATATTTATCAAATAAATCGTTTATTTAATCAATCAGGTTATTATAGGATAACTGCTGCCTCAGATAGAAATAATGTCAATCTAAATATCCAAATATAACGTAATAAATTAATAAAAATATTAAAAATCACTGGGAAAAAAATAATTACTATTATCATGAAACAAGATAAATGACCCCACATTATTTAGGGGTAGGGCATGGACAGGTCAGTGTCAGGTTTTTTATCAAAAAAATGGATATATTTATCAAAGAAATCGTTTATTTAATCAATCAGGTTATTATAGGATAACTGCTCCCTCAGATATGAATAATATCAATCTAAATATCCAAATATAACATAATAAATTAATAAAAATATTTAAAATAACTGTGAATAAAATTAATGACTAATAAAATTAATGAAGATTTTATAATGAACTGGGATAAACGACCCCACATTATTGAGGGGGAGGTCATTGACAGCTCAGTGTCAGGTTTTTTATCAAAAAAACCTGACCTATTTATTAAATAATAAATTATCAATCTAAATACAAAATAGAATGAAGTAATAAATTAATAAATTAAAATAGACCAGTGAATAAAATGAATGCCGATTACCATGGAATGGGATGAATGCCCCACATGCTTGGAATGTTCCTTGGAATGTTCCTTGGAATGTTCCTTGGAATGTTCCTTGGAACGTTCCTTGGGATGTTCCTGGGGAATGTTCCTGGGGAATGTTCCTTGGGAATGTTCCTGGGGAATGTTCCTTGGAATGTTCCTTGGAATGTTCCTGGGGAATGTTCCTCGGGAATGATCCTGGTGTCATTCCTTGGGAATGTTCCTTGGAATGTTCCTTGGAATGTTCCTTGGAATGTTCCTGGGGAATGTTCCTGGGGAAGGTTCCTGGGGAATGTTCCTGGGGAAGGTTCCTGGGGAATGTTCCTGGGGAATGTTCCTGGGGAATGTTCCTGGGGAATGTTCCTCGTGTCATTCCTTGGGAATGTTCCTTGAGAATATTCCTTGTGCCATTCCTTCAAAATATTCCTTGTGTCATTCCTTCAAAATATTCCTTGGGAATATTCCTTGTGTCATTGCTTGGGAATATTCCTTGTGCCATTCCTTGTGTTATTCCCTGGGAATATTCCTTGTGTCATTCCCTGGGAATATTCCTTGTGTCATTCCTTGGGAATATTCCTTGGGAATATTCCTTGTGTCATTCCTTGGGAGTGTTCCTTGGAAATATTCCTTGGAAATATTCCTTGGAAATATTCCTTGGAAATATTCCTTGTGTCACTCCTTGTGTCACTCCTTGGCAATATTCCTCAGGAATATTCCCCGTGTCACTCCTTGTGTCACTCCTCAGGAATACTCCCTGTGTCACTCCTTGTGTCACTCCTTGGGAATATTCCTCAGGAATATTCCCTGTGTCACTCCTCAGGAATACTCCCTGTGTCACTCCTTGTGTCATTCCTTGGGAATATTCCTTGGAAATATTCCTTAGGAATATTCCCTGTGTCACTCCTTGTGTCACTCCTCAGGAATACTCCCTGTGTCAGTCCTTGCACGCTCCCCCTTTGTGGGAACCCCGGAATTGCCTCTGGGATTGTTCTCCCCCCTGGCTGCTCCAGGACATTCCCACATGGAATTGCTGCTCCCGGAGCCCGGGACAAATCCCAAAGCCCCTCCAGCCCCCAGTGCCACTCTGTGTGCCCAGGACAGCTCCTGGGCTGGCCTTTGGGAGGTGTGACCAGGAAAAGGGGAATTCCCAGGAGTTTCCATGCTGGGTGTCTGACTGGGATTTGCATTGGGATTTTCACTCCAGCGAGGAAAAAAACCCCAAAATGAATTAATATCAAAATGCACCTGTGAATGAAATAATGAGGATTATATAATGAAATGGGATAAATGACCCCACGTTATTTAGGGGGAGGTCACTGACAGCTCAGTGTGAAGGTTTTATCAAAAAAAAAAACCCCAAAATGAGTTAATATCAAAATGCACCTGTGAATGAAATAATGAGGATTATATAATGAAATGGGATAAATGACCCCACGTTATTTAGGGGGAGGTCACTGACAGCTCAGTGTGAAGGTTTTATCAAAAAAAAACCCCAAAATGTTCAGGTAGTGACAAAAGGGCGCTGAGGAAGGGGAAGCAATTCCTGCCAGGAAAACACCCCGGGATCTGTGTCCCACAGCCGGGGCACAGGACGGAGCTGGGGCACAGCCCCAGGGGATCCTCTGCAGTTCCAGGGCTGGCAAAATGACCCAGGGCTGTCCTGAGCTCCCAGGAACCCCAGCCTGGAGCTCCTCCAGCGCTCCCCCCTTCCCAGGGAACATTCCCTAAGGGATCTCCCAGAGAGGGAGCAGAGGAGAGGAGCAATCACAAATTTTGGGGCAGATCTCTGTGCCCAAAGCACCAGGAACATTCCCTGTGGTTTTAAATTCCCTAAGGAATCTCCCAGAGAGGAGGAATCACAAATTTTGGGGCAGAGCTCCGTGCCCCAAGCACCAGGAACATTCCCCGTGGTTTTAAATTCCCTAAGGAATCTCCCAGGCAAATTTTGGGGCAGATCTCCGTGCCCAAAGCACCAGGAACACTCCCTGTGGTTTTAAATTCCCTAAGGAATCTCCCAGGCAAATTTTGGGGCAGATCTCCGTGCCCCAAAGCACCAGGAACACTCCCTGTGGTTTTAAATTCCCTACAGAATCTCCCAGAGAGGAGGAATCACAAATTTTGGGACACATTTCCGTGCCCCAAGCACCAGGAACATTCCCTGTGGTTTTAAATTCCCTAAGGAATCTCCCAGACAAATTTTGGGACACATTTCTGTGCCCAAAGCACCAGGAACATTCCCTGTGGTTTTAAATTCCCTAAGGAATCTCCCAGAGAGGAAAGGAGAAGGAATCACAAATTTTGGGGCAGATCTCTGTGGCCCCAAGCACCAGGAACATTCCCTGTGGTTTTAAATTCCCTAAGAAATCTCCCACAGAGGAGGAATCACAAATTTTGGGGCACATTTCCGTGCCCAAAGCACCAGGAACATTCCCTGTGGTTTTAAATTCCTTAAGGAATCTCCCAGACAAATTTTGGGGCAGAGCTCTGTGCCCAAAGCACCAGGAACATTCCCTGTGGTTTTAAATTCCCTAAGGAATCTCCCAGACAAATTTTGGGGCAGATCTCCGTGCCCAAAGCACCAGGAACATTCCCCGTGGTTTTAAATTCCCTAAGGAATCTCCCAGACAAATTTTGGGGCAGAGCTCCGTGCCCCAAGCACCAGGAACATTCCCTGTGGTTTAAGGATGAAAAGAGCAGGAATAAATCAAACATGGGATTGGAATCCCGGCTTTCCCAGAGCACTTTGGACGTGTCCAAGGTTATTTTTTACAGCAGGTTTTTTTGGCTCCATCCTACCCTGTCAGCAGTCCTGGGAGAGCAGGAGGAGGGGGCTCTGGGGTTTATGGAATGTGCTCCCAGCCCTCCCAGCTCCCTCCAGACCACCTGGGAACGAGGGAGCAGCCATCCCTTCATGCCAAGGGACGTGCCCAGGGCTTCCTCTGCCTTTTCCCAGGGTGTTTTTGGGTTCTAGGCTGTTCTTGTGGAGCACCCTCAGTGCTGGCACTGCAGGTTGTATCTGACAAACCATTTTTTGCCTGCAAAGGATGGAATTTTTTGGTTTTCCCTGGTGTGAAAAAGCAGGAATGGGCTTTGGGATACGGAGCAGCTCTGTAAAAAATACAATAAAAATAAAAGTAAAAGTAAAAATAAAAAGTAAAAATAAAAATAAAGGACACAGGACACCCAGAAATGATTTTTCCTTTGAGGAACCTCCTCTCAAACCCCCAAATTTGGTTTGAGCAGAAGCTCACAGGACACTCAGAAAATGATTTTTCCTTGAAGGAACCTCCTCTCAAACCCCTAAATTTGATTTTTCCTTGAAGGAACCTCCTCTCAAACCCCTAAATTTGATTTTTTATTTAAGGAACCTCCCCTCAAACCCCGAAATTTGATTTTTCCTTGAAGGAACCTCCTCTCAAACCCCTAAATCTGATTTTTTATAGAAGGAACCTCCTCCCAAACCCCTAAATTTCATTTTTCCTTGAAGGAACCTCCTCTCAAACCCCCAAATTTGGTTTGAGCAGAAGCTCACAGGACACTCAGAAAATGATTTTTCCTTTGAGGAACCTCCTCTCAAACCCCCAAATTTGGTTTGAGCAGAAGCTCACAGGACACTCAGAAAATGATTTTTCCTTGAAGGAACCTCCTCTCAAACCCCTAAATTTCATTTTTTATTTAAGGAACCTCCTCTCAAACCCCTAAATTTGGTTTCAGTCCTTAAAACATCCCAGCAGAAGGTGCCCCACGCTCACAGGACACCCAGAAATGATTTTTTATTTAAGGAACCTCCTCCCAAACCCCTAAATTTCATTTTTTATTGAAGGAACCTCCTCTCAAACCCCTAAATTTGATTTTTCCTTTGAGGAACCTCCTCCCAAACCCCTAAATCTGGTTTTAATCCCCAAAACCTCCCAGCAAAGGTGCCCACCACGACTCAAACCCCAGATTTTGTTTGCCAGCTGCTCCAGCAGGAATTTTCAGGAATTTCCCCGAGGAGCTGCTGCCCCCCCAGGGGATGAGCACGAGTGGAACTCAGGAATTTTTGGGGTCTGTTCCAGGATTTTCCCTCCTTGTTTGCTGCTGGAATTTTCTCCCCCAGATCTTCTGCCAGCCCTGCTTTAAATGAATTTAAAAACTCCAAAACTGAAGGAATTATTCCCCACTTTTGCATTTCTTTGGAATTTGGGTTGATTTTAGAGGGAATTCAGGCCCCCAGGAGCTCCAAGCAGGAACTGGAATTCCAGGGCACAAAACCACTGGAATTATTTATTTTTCTCCTTTTTGTGGAGAAGTAGAAAAGCTGATCTCCCATAAAAATCCCCATCCCTCCCCCACTGGCAATTCCACAATTCCAGCGAGGAATTCCAGCTCCAATCACATTTCCATGGAAGAACTGAAGGATTTTTTGTCCAAATTCCCCTGGATTTCTCCCACCAAGCACACCTGGAATATCTCAAATTCCCATTTTTTAACAGCTCTGCTCCTTCTAACAATTCCAGCTTTCTCTGAGTTTTATTTTAAATTAATTTGGTTTTTAAATTAAGCTATTTATCTCTAAAAAATCAGATTTTTAACCAGAAATGAGCCCATGGAAACCCCTCTGCAGCATCTGTAAAAAATCTTATTTTTCTCAAGATTTTGGCTCAGGGAGGAGGTTCAAATTCAGGTAAAAAAACCAAAATTAAAGGAAAAAAGTGGCCTGCCATCATCAGCAGAGAGGGAACGCCCAACTCACCGTAGAGAGCTGTCCAGGTCTGATTGATGACATCTAGACAAACAGTTCCTGACCTGGGACACGGGGAAAATGGAACACGGCAAAAAAATGGAATTAACATTGCAAAAAAATGGAATTAACACTGCAAAACCAGGCTGGGAAGTGCAAAAATCCCTGGAATACAGGGGAAAAATGGAATTAGCCCTGCAAAAACACCATGGGAAGTGCAAAAATCCCTGGGACACAGGGAAAAATGGAATTAGCACTGCAAAAACACCATGGGAACTGCACAAATCCCTGGGACACAGGGAAAAATGGAATTAGCACTGCAAAAACACCATGGGAACTGCACAAATCCCTGGGACACAGGGAAAAATGGAATTAGCACTGCAAAAACACCATGGGAACTGCACAAATCCCTGGGACACAGGGAAAAATGGAATTAGCACTGCAAAAACACCATGGGAACTGCACAAATCCCTGGGACACAGGGAAAAATGGAATTAACACGGCAAAAAATGGAATTAACACTGCAAAAACAGGCTGGGAACTGCAGAAATCCCCGGGACACAGGGAAAAAATGGAATTAACACCGCAAAAACACCATGGGAAGTGCAAAAATCCCTGGGACACAGGGAAAAATGGAATTAACACAGCAAAAAATGTAATTTAGCCCTGCAAAAAAATGGAATTAACACAGGGAAAAACGGAATTAACATGGCAAAAAAGCCTGGGAGGTGCAAAAATCCCTGGAACACAGGGAAAAATGGAATTAACACAGCAAAAAAAGCCTGGGGACTGCAAAAATCCCTGGAACTCAGGGAAAAATGGAATTAGCCCTACAAAACCAGCCTGGGAAGTGCAGAAATCCCTGGGACACAGGGAAAAATGGAATTAACACTGCAAAAAAATGGAATTAACATGGCAAAAAAGCCTGGGAAGTGCAAAAATCCCTGGGACACAGGGAAAAATGGAATTAGCACAGCAAAAAAATGGAATTAACACAGGGAAAAATGGAATTAACATGGCAAAACCACCATGGGAAGTGCAGAAATCCCTGGAACTCAGGGAAAAATGGAATTAACACTGCAAAAACTGGAATTAGCCCTGCAAAACCAGCTGGGAAGTGCAGAAACCCCTGCTCCAGCCCTCCCCAGGTCTGGGACAAAGGGATTTATTCCTGTTCATGGTCTTTAAGCAGCTCCAGATTCCCAAGAGGAAAAAAATTGGGATTTTACTGCCAGGGAAGCTCCAGAGAAGCAAAAAAATGGGAGAATAAACGGAATTTTGGAGGATTGAACTCAAATGTGAAAGGGATTTACTCACGCTTCATCAATGTTGGGATGGAAGATTTTATTCATGAATCCTGCAGGGAGAAACACAGGGAAATCAGCAGGAAAAAACAATAAAGGTGGAATAAATTTATTTATAAATAAAGAACATTGGAATACATGTTGAACAAATGTATTTTGTGTAAATTTTGTCATCCTGCAGGGAGAAACACAGGGAAATCAGCAGGAAAAAACAATAAAGGTGGAATAAATTTATTTATAAATAAAGAACATTGGAGTACATGTTGAATAAATGTATTTTGTGGAAATTTTGTCAATTTATTTTTTGTAAATTTATTTTTTGTAAATTTATTTCTTGTAAATTTATTTCTTGTAAATTTATTTTTTAATACATTTATTTCTTGTAAATTTATTTTTTGTACATTTATTTTTTGTAAATTTTTTTTGTACATTTATTTTTTGTAAATTTATTTTTTGTACATTTATTTTTTGTAAATTTTTTTTGGTAAATTTATTTCTTGTACATTTATTTTTTGTACATTTATTGTTTGTACATTTATTTTTTGTACATTTATTTCTTATAAATTTATTTTTTGTAAATTTATTTTTGTACATTTATTTCTTGTAAATTTATTTTTTGTACATTTATTTTTTGTAAATTTTTTTTTGTACATTTATTTTTTGTAAATTTATTTTTTGTACATTTATTTTTTGTAAATTTTTTTTGGTAAATTTATTTCTTGTACATTTATTTTTTGTACATTTATTGTTTGTACATTTATTTTTTGTACATTTATTTCTTATAAATTTATTTTTTGTAAATTTATTTTTGTACATTTATTTTTTGTACATTTATTTTCTGTACATTTATTTTTTGTACATTTATTTCTTGTACATTTATTTTTTGTACATTTATTGTTTGTACATTTATTTTTTGTACATTTATTTCTTATAAATTTATTTTTTGTAAATTTATTTTTGTACATTTATTTTTTGTACATTTATTTTCTGTACATTTATTTTTTGTACATTTATTTCTTGTAAATGTATTTTTTGTAAATTTATTTCTTGTAAATTTATTTTTTGTACATTTATTTTTTGTACATTTATTTTTTGTACATTTTTTTTTGTAAATTTATTTCTTGTAAATTTATTTTTAATACATTTCTTATTGAATAAATGTATTTTCCACATGAGAAATCTGCAATTCAGGGAACAAGGACCCATAAATAACTTTTGAAATAAACGAGAACCATTGCCAGCCTGGGCTCCCTTCCCTGAAATTCCAGGGAATTCTGGAGTCAGGAATCCAGGGAACTCTGCAGTGCCACCACCAAGATTGTGTGGGATCCCAAAATTCCCAAATCCCAGCCCAGGGGGGCTCCCCCACCCGATGAGGTGGCTTTGGAAGGGCAAATCTGAACACAAATTTAAGTTTAACACTGGATTTTAAAATAGATTTTATGTATTTTTCTATAGAAATTTTATAGATATATATTTGTGTGCACATATATTTATTTACATTTATATTTATATTTACATTTATATTTACATTTATATGTAAACATAAATATTATATTTATATTAACTCTATATTAATATATATTCATTTTATATCTATATATAGTTATTATAACATCAATATTCTCTATTAAATTATATTAATATTATATTAATATAATATATTTTTATTATATTAGTATTATTTATATTAATTTTATATTTATATTTATGCATATACTTATATTTATATTTATATTTATATTTATATTTATATTTATATTTATTTGTATTTATATTTATATTTACATTATATTTATATTTATATTATATTTCTATTTATAGATATATTAATTAAAAAAAAATTTTCCCCAACAGAGATTTTCCATGAGCTTGACATCACGACATTAATCTACACCTGTGAGCCAGGGAGGAAAGAACAGAAATTTTCCACCAATACAGCAATTAATTCTCCTCTTGGTGCCCCTGGTCTCCTAAAAAACACCTCAGGAGAGGTTTAGGAGGAGAAAGTTTGGTTTTTCCCACATTTCTGGGTTTAAGAGGGGTTTTTTTGGTTCTGAGTTGCATATGTATTTTCCTATAGAAATTTTATAGATATATATTTGTGTGCACATATATTTATTTACATTTATATTTATATTTACATTTATATTTACATTTATATGTAAACATAAATATTATATTTATATTAACTCTATATTAATATATATTCATTTTATATCTATATATAGTTATTATAACATCAATATTCTCTATTAAATTATATTAATATTATATTAATATAATATATTTTTACTATATTAATATTATTTATATTAATTTTATATTTAAATTTATGCATATATTTATATTTATTTTTATCTCCTCTTGGTGCCCCTGGTCTCCTAAAAAACACCTCAGGAGAGGTTTAGGAGGAGAAAGTTTGGTTTTTCCCACATTTCTGGGTTTAAGAGGGGTTTTTTTGGTTCTGAGTTGCAAATTAAATTGTGAAATAAATAAAATAAATTTTGAAAGAATAAAATATAAATTTATTTTGAGCAATTTTTTGAATAAAAAGTTTTATTCAGAATAAATCTGGAAATGTTTCCAGCCCTACAATGTGCCCCACGCTTGAATCCAAAGATAAATTTCCTTTTCCAACTTCAACTCAAGCTCCAAACACTCGTTTTTATCCCATAAATAATGATAAAATAAATCACATTAAAGGAATTCTGCCCCGCCCTCAGCCTGGGGGAGAATCCACCCCAACAAAAGAATTTCCAGAGGTGGCTGCAGAGTCCAGGAGCCCAAAACCTCCACAGGAGGAAGGCGGGGTGGAATCCATGAATCCCAACTTTCCTGGCCTGGGAATCCTTTGGGATCTGCCCAGGGGGGCCCCAAGCAGGAAAAGCTGATCCCAGACCTGGGAATTGGGAATTTGTCCTAAATCCTCCTTTTCCTGCTGTGCCATTTATTTGGATTGAAATTTGCCCTAAATCCTATTTTTCCCTCCTGTGCCACCGTTCTGGGTTGGGAATTTGCCCTAAATCCTCATTTTCCCTGCTGTGCCACCTTTCTGGATAGGGAATTTGCCATAAATCCTCATTTTCTCTGTTTTGCCATTTATTTGGATTGAGAATTTGCCCTAAATTTTCATTTTCCCTCCTGTGCCACTTTTTGGTTGAGAATTTACCATAAATCCTCATTTTCCCTCCTCTGCCACCTTTTGGATTGGGAATTTGCCATAAATCCTGATTTCCCTGTTTTGCCACTTTTTGGATTGAGAATTTGCCATAAATCCTCATTTTCTCTGTTTTGCCATTTATTTGGATTGAGAATTTGCCCTAAATTTTCCTTTTCCCTCCTTTGCCACCTTTCTGGATTGGGAATTTGCCATAAATCCTCATTTTCTCTGTTTTGCCATTTATTTGGATTGAGAATTTGCCCTAAATCCTCCTTTCCCTGCTGTGCCACCTTTTGGAAGTGGCCACAAACTAACCATGGATCAGGGATGGAATCCATGAATCCCAACTTTCCTGGCCTGGGAATCCTTGGGATCTGCCCAGGGGGGCTCCAAGCAGGAAAAGCTGATCCCAGACCTGGGAATTGGGAATTTGTCCTAAATCCTCTTTTCCCTACTGTGCCACCTTTTGGATTGAAATTTGCCCTAAATCCTATTTTTCCCTCCTGTGCCACCGTTCTGGGTTGGGAATTTGCCCTAAATCCTATTTTTCCCTCCTGTGCCACTTTTTGGTTGAGAATTTACCATAAATCCTCATTTTCCCTCCTCTGCCACCTTTTGGATTGGGAATTTGCCATAAATCCTGATTTCCCTGTTTTGCCACTTTTTGGATTGAGAATTTGCCATAAATCCTCATTTTCTCTGTTTTGCCATTTATTTGGATTGAGAATTTGCCCTAAATTTTCATTTTCCCTCCTGTGCCACCTTTTGGATTGAGAATTTGCCATAAATCCTATTTTTCCCTCCTGTGCCACCGCTCTGGGTTGGGAATTTGCCCATAATCCTCATTTCCATGTTATGCCACCTTTTTGGATTGAGAATTTGCCCTAAATCCACTTTTTCCCTGTTTTGACACTTTTTGGATTGAGAATTTGCCCTAAATTTTCCTTTTCCCTCCTTTGCCACCTTTCTGGATTGGGAATTTGCCATAAATCCTCATTTTCTCTGTTTTGCCATTTATTTGGATTGAGAATTTGCCATAAATCCTATTTTTCCCTCCTGTGCCACCGCTCTGGGTTGGGAATTTGCCATAAATCTTGCTTTTCCCTCTTGTGCCACTTACTGGATTGGGAATTTGCCCTAAATCCTCCTTTTCCCTCTTGTACCACCTTTTGGATTGGGAATTTGCCCTAAATCCTCCTTTTCCCTCTTGTACCACCTTTTGGATTGGGAATTTGCCCTAAATCCTCCTTTTCCCTCTTGTACCACCTTTTGGATTGGGAATTTGCCCTAAATCCTCCTTTTCCCTCCTGTGCCACCTTTCTGGATTGGGAATTTGCCCTAAATCCTCATTTTCCCTCTTGTGCCACCTTTCTGGATTGGGAATTTGCCCTAAATCTTTATTTTCTCTGTTTTGCCATTTATTTGGATTGAGAATTTGCCATAAATTTTCCTTTTTAAAGATTTTTAAATCATTTTATCCCTGTCAGAAGCAACTCTTGCCTCTGACAGGGACAAAACCAGGCAAGAAATTCAGGTTTGGGATATTGCCTCAATCCGTGGGAAAGGCTCCTTCCAGGACCCACAAACCACGGAAGTTTTCTTTCCAGAAAGCCTAAAAATCCCATCTTTAACCATTTAAAAGCTCCAGATGCCCCGTCTCCATGGCCAGCCCCGGGTGAGGGGCAGCAGGATCTGCCACCCCTCCTTGCCAGGAACTGGGACACAAACAGAACTCCAGCTTTGCTCAGATTCTGCACAAAACCAGCCCTGGCTGAGACAAACCCAAATCCCAATAAAAAGGAGAACTCCCACCCCAATACCTGGATAACTTGGGAATTGGGAAGATTCCCACCATAACACCTGGAAAAGCTGGGAAACATGGAAGATTCC